TTAAGTAATAAAGAATAAAAATAATTATAAAGAACGCGGATACTCAAAGAAGACCATCAGGTCTTGTCACAGAGAAACCGCTATTGAAAGTTTTTTTTTTTTTTTGCTTTTTTTATTTATTTTTTTTTAATTTTATGCTATTATTATATATATTTTTTTCAATGTTTCATTCTTCGTATTTATTTATTTTTGTTTAATTTTTTTTTATTACAAAATTAAATTTAATAATAAAAGTATATAAAGTTCGTAATATAATATAAATAAACATACAATATTACAATATACGAGTTCTAAAACGTAAAAACTAAAACATGTTAAATAATTCACTAAAATAAAACATGTTAAGTAATTGCTTGTTGATAAAAAATAAATAAATAAAAAAGAATGTACATTAAATATATACATATACTAATATAGATAAGGGATTTTCAAAAATTTAATATAGATAAGGGATTTTCAAAAACTTAAAAGTAGATTAATATATTTTCAGTTGAAAAAATGAGTTTTTAAAGATTTTGTTTAAAAGAATCAAAATTACATTCTTGAGAAAAATCTTTAGAAGTATTTAGAACTTTACTATTCCATAAAAATGGTCCGCGAAATGAAATAAAAAATTTTCCAAAATTAGTTTGAGAAAATGGTTGTCGAATTAAGTTATCGTTCCTTAGAATATATTTATTTCTATCTCTTTGAAAATACAAGTTACGAAAAGAAACGGGCGATAGGTGGGTCTTGCATTTATACATAAAACAAAGAATATTAAAAACATTCAACTCATATATATTGAGTGTTTATATCATATAAAAGACGCTTGGCGTGAGCAAAATGGTTCTTAAAATTTATAAGGCGTGCTACATGCTTCTGTTGCCGATAGAGAGGTTTAAGTTTACTTTTATAAGTGCTACCCCAAGGAATGTTTGCATAGTTGATATGGAAATGAATTAACGAAAAGTATAATTGAATTAAGGCATTTTTATCAAGAACGTTTCTTATTTTGTATAGCATGCCTATACTTTTTGAAATTTTACTGCACAAGTTAGCAATGTGGCATTTTCATGTAAGATTTTCATCGATATATACACCTAAAAATCTGGTCACTAAAACTCTATAATTAATTATGTTATCGATAAATAGATAAGGTAAGTTGCTAGGCAGCTGGTGCTTTTTACCATAAGGATGAAAAAGAATCCATTTAGTTTTATCAATATTTAGTGAGAGTTTGTTTAATCTAAACCATTCGGAAATTTTGACTAGTTCAATGTTCATATTGCTAAAAAGTGTAATAATGTTATTATGAGAAAGAAATAGGTTAGAATCATCAGTAAACATAATTGTCATTAGGTTAGAAGCTTTTGGTAGATCATTAATATATATTAAAAATAGGAGAGGTCCTAATATGGATTCTTGAGGAACTCCACATGAAATATTAAACAAACTAGATGATACGTTATCATCTGCATAAACAAATTGTTTTCGATTATTTAGGTAACTTTTTAGCCAAATTAATATTTTTCCAGTAATTCCGTACCACTCCAACTTTTTAAAAAGAATTTCGTGATCTATAGTATCAAAAGCTTTCGCCAAGTCAATGAAAAAACCTAGAGTAAATTGAGAATTTTCAAACGAGTTAGATATATTTCTTGTAAATTGTAGAATGGCATGTTCAGTAGAATTGTTTTTTTGGAATCCATATTCATTGCTGTATAATAAATTGTTTAAAGTAAGATGACTATAAATTTTATTGTACAAAATTCTTTTTAAAACTTTACAGAAAGGAGTGAAATAGGACGGTAGTTACTTATATTCTAAATGTCACCACTTTTTAATATTGGTATGACTTTTGCTAATTTTAGAGTTTGTAGAAAAATTTCCTGTTTAATTGATATTGAAAAAATATTAAAGAGTATATCTTTTAGAACATCAAATGAACTTATAATGATGTTGTCATTAATACCATCAGGGTCTACTGCTTTGTTAGATTTTAACATCTTAAAGACATTTTCAAACTCTTTAAAAGATAGTTCAAAAGGGTTCAAGTAAGAGTTTAGAGGGAAACATAGATCATTCATTAAATTATTAGCTATAGGAATTTTTTTTGCCAGATTTGGTCTGTAATTTGTCTTTTATCATATAAAAATTCTTTATTATGTTTAACCGTGTTTGGCAAAGAGTGGGATGTACATTTTTTGCTGCCAGTAATTTCTCTTATTATAAACCAAGTGCGTTTAAAATTTAATTTATATATATCTAGTAAATTTAAATAATATTTTTTTTTTGTTTTTTCTTGAGGCTTTTAAAAAGTTTAGCGTAATTTTTATATAAAATTTTATTTTCATTTATTTTAGATTTTAAGTAATTAATATATAATTTTTGTTTAATTTTTGAAGACTTCCGCAAACTCTTTGTAATCCAAGGCAATTTAATACTTTTAGCTTTAAGATTTAAATTAACTTCAGGGAAATTAGTTTATCTTCAACATAATCAGTTATAACATATAATTATCTTCAACAGAATCAGTCCAGACCTCTGACCCATATACTAAAGCTCTCTATAACTTCTTGAATTTTCACAGATGGATTTAAATTAGCAAAATTAGTTCCTATATTTAAATGTAATGAACATTCGGACATACCAATTATTGACCTATATCAATACTTTCCGTATTTTCAAAATTTTTTGAACATGTAACTTATAATAGATTCTATATTCAGTTCACTAAAAACAAATTATATTACCCAAAGCAGTTTGGATTTCAAAATAACTTCAATCAACTAACCAATCATTGAATTAGTTGAACCAATAACTAATTGTTTTAGTTATTGGTTCAACTAATTTGTTTTTACCAAAACAAATTTAGTTTAGGAGTTTTTATTGACTTATCAAAAGCATTTGATACAGTTGATCACTGCATCCTATTAGATAAGCTAAAGCTCTATGGTATAATTAATAAAACTTACAATTCGATTAAAAGTTATCTTACTGACACTGACAGTGTTAAATGTTATACTAAATGTGTAGTTCCCCAAGGATCTATTCTTGGTCCACGAATATTTTTTAATTTATCCTGGCTTCCTCAAATAAAATATATTTAATCTAAGATCACCAATATAATTGGCATGATGAATCGAATTCGTTCGTATATCAATAAACAAAGTCTCAAATTAATAATATTTTGGATTAATTCATTGCTTCGTCAACTATGCAAATATATCATTGAAAAGTACGCAACCATCGAAACATAAAAAAACTATTTATTTTAAAATTATAATGAATGATATGAAAATGATGGATATTTTTGAAATGAGCATCTATAAACATTTATTTTTTATGTATAGGTTCCACAATAATTTCTTTACTGGAAACCTTAACAACAAGTTTGAAATAAATAGAAATTAAAACTATTATCTAAGACAAATATAAGGTAACACATATAAACTGCCTCAAAAATTTTAAAAATATACTGAACATTGCATATCAAGGTCCAAATATATAAAATATTATAAAAAAAAAAATTAAAATCTATAGCAAAGTCATTAAGTTTCATTTAAGTTTCAAATTAAAAAATAAATTTTTAAAATTTGATTCAATTTGTGCTTGAAGTTATTTGTTTCTATTTTTTTAGCTTTTTAATCTTTATTTGATTTACTGATCAGCGCAGCAGTTTTATGCCCATTAGGGTTATTAATATAACATTTATATTCTATTAAAAATATATTTAGGGACTCTATGAAAAGATTGTGATGATGAATTGTCATCTTCATCTTCTTTGAGCCCCTTTCTTTTTAATTCTTTACTTTGTAATGATCATTGTAAATAGAAAAGTTTATACTTTATATTGTATATATTGTATTACAGTACTTGTTGCAGGATATTCATTCTTATATGCGCGTCTATTCATTTTTAGATATGTGTTTATTCATCTTATATGCGCCTTTATTCATTCTTATACGCGCATTTATTCATTCTTATATGCGCCTTTAATTATTATTATACGCGCATTTATTCATTCTATTATGCGCCTTTATTCATTCTTATATGCGAGTCAACCACTCATAAAATCTCTCATATCATTTTATGTAAACAATAAATTGGCATTAATTTTTCAATGTTTTTAGATAGATATACTTAAAATATAAATTAGGTTGTTGCCATTGCAATTTATTTAAAAAAAAATGGTTGCCGAGCCGGCGCTAAATTTATTTAATAATTAAATTTAAATCTAGATAAATGAGTATTTAGATAAATAATAACTTAATCAATCAATAAATTTAATTACAAAATTAATTAAAGACCTAATACTAAATTAAATAAACCATCATCGAATGTAAAAACTCTTAATTTTAATTATTTTCAACCTCGTTTACCAGGAAATAAAAAAAGATAAATTGTTTTTTCAAAACAAGTTGCTTACTTGATTCTTTTTGTTCAAATTGCTTTTTTAAAACGCATATAAGAATGAATAAATGCGCATATATAAGAATGAATAACCCTGTAACAAGATTTTACTGTCTTCTTCGTTCTACCGACATATTTTTTCTTTTTATATATATATGTATGTTGATTAACATTTCTTTTATATGTGTATGTTAATTATTCATTGTTAAACAGCAAAATAAATGAATTAAAAAAAAATGAAAGCATGAAAACCTCATAACCATTTCATTCTATCCTATTTTATTCTATTGATTTAAAGAAAATTTTTATGGATAATTTAAAAAATAAAAATAATAAGATAATTCAAAAGTTTTTTTTACCTCCTGATCATCATATAACAAATTATATACATACCTAGGTGCTTTCAAAATACATTTTATAAACCTGTTAATTTTGAATGAAATTTCTTTCTAATTTTTGTAAAGGCCCTACAAATTTGATAAGGGTTAAATAACTTTTATTATTTACGTGATAAAAGTTAATTACTTGTTATTATTTTAAATAATTTTACATCAAATCATTTTTGTGTATATAAAAACTTTTAAAAAAATATTTTAAACGTCTAGGTGGTGTTTTTGGTGGCTTTCTTAGCGACACATACAAACGCTTTAAATTATGTTAGAGTTTGCTACTACACAAATTGGGCTCAATACCGAGCTGACCCCATGAAATTTTTTCCTGAAGATATTGATCCACAGCTTTGCACGCACATTATGTATTCATTTGGAAAGATTACTAACTGTAAGTGTTTTCATTAAACTTTGATTTTTTTGTTATTCTGTAAAAATATAAATAAAATTATTGAAATTTTTATATTAAAAAAGTTATTATATTTGTTAAGGTGTTATTAATATGTGGTGTATATATACGATACTGTAACAGTATATTACTATACTGTTAATAAATTTTTATACATTTATAATTATCTATTAAAACACTCTTAAACCGTTTAGACAACAAACTTGATATGATTGAGTGGAATGACAACAAAATGTATCCACGTGTCATGGCTCTTAAGCAAAAAAATCCAAATCTAAAAATATCTCTTGCAGTAGGAGGCTGGAATCATGAAAGCGGAAGTATTTTAAATGATTTTTATTTAATTCTGCTGCATAAGATGAAATTTTAATTGTATTAAAATAAAAAAGAATTAGCCAGTATTTTTGAGCAGTTGCTTTGCTATAAATTTTTTTCTTTGTCGACTCATTTTAATAGTTGACTTTCTCCTAGGTACTTCAAAATTTTCAGTTATGGTAAACAGCCAAACAAACAGGCAGGCATTTATTAAATCAACTGTTGAACTTCTTCGTAAGTGGAAATTTGATGGGTTTGATCTTGACTGGGAGTATCCAGCTGGAAGAGGAAACTCACCCCCTGGAGACAAAAAGATGTAAATAAAAATTAATAATAGTAGTAATAAGGACTATAAAAATAAAAACTATATTTATAGTTCGAAAAGTAATAATAAAATAATTTTTTTTATAAAGGTTCACTTTGCTTTGCAAAGAGTTGATACAAGCTTTTGATAAAGACGCTGTTGCTAGACAATTACCCAGACTTCAACTTTCAGCCGCTGTACCTGCTTCTTATTTAATCATAAATGCTGGATATGAAGCAAGCGAACTTGGAAAGTACTTAGACCTTTTGAATTTAATGGCGTATGATTTGCATGGTGATTGGGATAAAATAACTGGTCATCACACTGCAATGGCTGGTGATGGAGGTAAAAAAACATTTTTTTAAAAAATATTCTCCTTTTTTTTAATTCTCAAAATGTTATTTTATAAGGTAGGGAGGGAGAATATGAAATTAGACTACAATGCGCTACAAATCGTTGTTGCACGATTGTTGCCGAATGAGGTGCGTGAGTTTTTTTTCATTTTTGGGCAAAACATCAAAATCGTTTTTACTTAAATAGAAATTTTGTTTTTCTCCTAAATGCTTATAAAAACTTTTTATAAGTCTTGACATTTTACCCATTCATTGGACTTTTAATTGGATGACGATTGGAATTAAACATTTTATGAATATATATATATATATATATATATATATATATATATATATATATATATATATATATATATATATATATATATATATATATATGTGTGTGTGTGTGTGTGTGTGTGTGTGTGTGTGTGTGTGTGTGTGTGTGTGTGTGTGTGTGTGTGTGTGTGTGTGTGTGTGTGTGTGTGTGTGTTGAGACCCCGGAAAGATAATAAAAGGTTTTTTTATGAGTGCAAAATGAAAATAATTTTAACATTTATTCTCCTCAAGACTAAGCTTTGATATTTACAAAAAATTGTGTCTCTAGGGCTAAATAGCTCAAAGTGTAAAAAGAGATGCAGCTAGCCTCAGTCTTCTTTATACCGTCCCTTAAAATATGTCCAGAACTAATTCCGAACCTGGATCTCAAGGACGTCTATCCGATTTGTGATGTCTATTAGACGTCGTAAAGACGTCTTACATTGACTTATATTTAGATATTTAAAAGATTTTATGAACAATATTTTTTAAGTTTTTGCGTTTTTTGCTTTTGTATTTGTCGTATTTGTTTCATTTTCTGAAAGACATAAAGACAAAGACTCTTTTAATATCTGATTTAATAAGTTTAATAAATAAGTTTAATAAATCGTAAATATTAACATTAATACTGCCATCAGCATTAAATTATTTTTCTAACAATAAGTCAAAAAATGATTAAATTTTGATATTTATAGAAACCATAGTTTTTGTCCAAGCAATTTTTTATTCGGCATTAAATTTTCTTTTTAATGATATTGAAAACCTATTATTTTTGCAATGTGAAAAAAATTAGTCATTTTGCACAAATTTCAGTTTGAAATTTTTTTTACTTATTTTATGTCTTAAAGGTTCTCAATGACAAGACTTCTTTAAGTCTGCGAGTTTCCTTACAACATCACAATTATTTTACCAAATTATTTTATCAAATTTATTATCATAAAATATATATAAAACATATACTTTGTATTTAACACAGTGTGTTTGATAATAAATTTTAACGGTTTATATATGTATACATTTATTTTTTGTTTTCTCTATGACTATATATTATGTCACGAGAAGGAATTGTAACAATAGTTTATAAAGTTGTAAAAAACCAATTTCGGTGGACCTATATAGTCATTTGCGGGCCAGTGTGGTTTGGCTCATCGGTTTGAAAGTGGACCTTTAGTGGCAGCCGCTAAAAGTGGCGCGCCGATGACTAGCCACTATTAATATGTCGGAAAGTTCTCGGGTTGCCATTTACAGAACAAAAGTCCGTAGAGCAGCCGTTCTCGGGTTACCATTACAAAAAAAACTCGAGCAGCCGTGGCGCAGTGGCTAGAATTCTAGTTCAGAACACAGAGGTCCGAGGTTTGATGCTTGCTCCAGCCCGACAAGTGACATTGGAACGGAAGGAGGCGTGAATTTTCTGTTAAATGCTTTCCAGCGGTGCTCTGTAATAAGACCGTATGGATTTCTGGGAGCACATAAATAACTACAAAAAAAAAAAAAAAAAAAAATTCCATTGAAAAAAATATTTTAAAAAACAAAACTCCAATATAGGTCCACTGCAAATCTAAAACAAATATTTGCTAAGGAAGCAACATTTTTTTTTGAATAAAAAAAAAAATGTTTTAGTTTGTTTACATTGCACATAATAATAGTTTATTACGAAACGCAAAGTTGTTGCAATAAATTATTTTAGTAGATAATATTTTTTTTTTTTTCCACATATTTTAATAGATAAAAATTATTTTTTTATTTATTTAATTATTTTTCATGTATTTTAATAGATAAAAAGGAAATATTTCATTAAATTTTTACATATTTTATAGATAAAAATGAAATATTTCATTTAAAATATTTTATTACTTTATCAAATAACTTAATAAATAACAACATACAGCAAAACCAAACTCAACATAAAGCAAAAATCTGTAAATTTTATTGCGTTTATATATATAGCTAGTAAATGTATAGTAATTATATTAATATTTTTTAAATTTAATAAGTAAATCATTAAAATAAGTAACTATTTCCACTATTCCCATATTCCCATATTTATTGTTAACAACCTTTAACTAATTATAATCAATAAGTTTTTTAAAGTATCAACGCACAAATAGCTATCGAAATTATAAAAGTATAAACGTACAAATAATTATCGAAACAAAAATTAAATTATATTATAACTGATATTTTCTACTTTGCGACTGAAAACACTTTTAAATAGATAATAATTAAAATAGTAAAAGTCACCGAGTTAAAAGTAAAATACTTAAAAGTATAATACTTAAAAGTAGAATATATATATATATATATATATATATATATATATATATATATATATATATATATATATATATATATATATATATATATATATATCAATAATAAAAGTAATTTCTCGGTAGACAGTGCTCAATACAAAAGTAGAGCAAATATGTATTAAATTAATAATAAAATAAATACAATTAGATTTGAAACATAACTCAGAGTTTCACGCTTTATGCGATCATCAGACGTTACAAACAACCGTAACAACAACAAAAATTATATACAAAAAATACAATAAAGTGTTAGCTTAGATGACGTTAAAGTTGCAAATAACAAATTTGTTTTCGTGGCGACATTTTGATATTAGTTCATTTCGTTTATTCAGTAGTTTCAAAGATGACGTAATGATATGGTATTTTTCGGTTAAGCAAAGGTTACATAACTTTCCTCCAGGTTTTCAAAAAAACCTTACCTCATCAAAACCAAAATCAAGATCACGAAACATTATTTGGTTTAATCCTCCGTTTTCACAAAATGTAAAAACCAACATCGCAAAAAATTTTCTAAATTTAATTGAAAAGCATTTTCCAAAAACACATAAGTTTCGAAAAATTTTTAATAAGAATAATTTAAAAGTTAGTTATAGCTGTCTTCCTAACATCACCAATATTATTAATTCACACAATAAAAAAATATTATCTAATGTTTCCAACACAATTGTTCCAACATGTAACTGCCGGCAACCTTCTCAATGTCCTTTGCAAGGTATGTGTCTCAGTAAAAATATAATTTACGTCTGCAATGTAAAAACATCACCACAGGAGAGTGGTCTTAATTATATTGGTCTAACGGAACACACCTTTAAAGATCGCTGGTACAAAGCTTTCAAAAAATTCCTTGTTTCGAAAAATACCATATCATTACGTCATCTTTGAAACTACTGAATAAACGAAATGAACTAATATCAAAATGTCGCCACGAAAACAAATTTGTTATTTGCAACTTTAACGTCATCTAAGCTAACACTGTATTGTATTTTTTGTATATAATTTTTGTTGTTGTTACGGTTGTTTGTAACGTCTGATGATCGCATAAAGCGTGAAACTCTGAGTTATGTTTCAAATCTAATTGTATTTATTTTATTATTAATTTAATTCATATATATATATATATATATATATATATATATATATATATATATATATATATATATATATATATATATATATATATATATATATATATATATATATATATATATATATATATATATATATATATATATATATATATATATATATATATATATATATATATATATATATATATATATATATATATATGTATATGTATATATATAAAAGTATATACATACCCCCTGCCTTGAGGCTCTTGGTTGAGTAAAAGCTAGAGATGGTGTCTCGATAAAAATACTTATCTTGGGTAGATATTAAATGCATTCGGCTGCTGTCTTGTAGAAAGCCTCCTAGAAAAAGACTTAAGGGGTAAACAAATTCTATCTCTTGACCAGCCTCGCACCTCTTCTTCATCTATTAGGCTGGAACAATTGTATTTTTAATACATTGTTTCCAGTTTAGGATATTGAATGCTGGATCTTTTTGACTCGATGACTTGATTTTTTGACTTCTTGGTAATTCCAGGTCAAACTTCACTCTTCTCTATGGTTTTCCTCACATTGTGCTGCTGCAATTTCCATTCGAAACCATTACTTCCATATCTATCAGCAAAACAATTCTCCAGAAAAGAGACGTCTGCTTATTACTGCTAGGAACCATTGTAAAAAGGTTTTGTCTAACACCAAATCCCGCTATTCTCAGGTCATAAAATCTCGTATTTCACAAAAATTAGGCTCTTGTGACTTATGGAGAATCTTTAATAGTATCAATGATAAGGACGAGTCTGTAAATTCCACCTCTTTTGCATGGTTTAGACTTGTCACCTCACCTAAAGACAAAGCTGAATTATTTGCTAAGATCCTTTCATCAATATCATCTCTTGATTTCACTAGTTGCGTTCTACCTGATATAGCTGTCACACAGACTGATCCATTGCTTGACATTCGAATCACTTCAGCTTTTGTATCTAAAGTGATTTCCTGCTTAGACTCTTCTACAGCTTGTGGTTCGGACGCTATACCTGTTATAGTCTTGCAGAATTGTTCGCCGGAGCTGTCGTCTATCCTTTCAAAACTATTCAACAAGTGCTTATCAGAGTCTTGTTTACCAGCCTGCTGGAAAGCAGCATCTGTTATTCCTATTTTTAAAAATTCTGGAGAGCCATCTGATTTTTCTAACTAACGTCCTATTAGTCTTCTTCCTATTATAAGCAAGGTTTTTGAATCTTTAATTAATAAACATTTAATCTCTCATCTTAATTATAATAATTTTTATTCCGATTATAAATAAGGATTTTGATCTTCTTGTTCTACAGCTGATTTGCTAAGAAAAATAACCAATAGGTTTTATCGCGCATTAGATAAAGGTGGAGAGGTTAAGGTTATCGCTCTTGACATTGATAAAGTTTGGCATGCTGGTCTTCTCCATAAGCTTTCTTCTTACGGGTTACGGTTCACCCTAACCACCCGGTTCACGGGTTAGGGTTACGGGTTCTTCTTACGGGTTACGGGTTACGGTTATCTGGAAATATCTTTGATTATTGAATCCTTCCTTTCCAATCGTAGTATAAAAGTTGTCCTAGATGCACAACACTCTTCTTCTTATTCTGTAACCTCAGGGGCTCCTCAAGCTTCAATTCTTGGCCCTATTCTTTTTTTAATTTACATTAACCATCTTTCAGATATTCTCACATCTAAGGTGGCATTCGATAATGATACTACTATTTATTCTTGTCATGATAAGAAGCCAAAACTAAGAAAAAAAAGCCTCTGATTGCTTGGAGGGGGCATTTGAGGTTGAAAAGGATTTCACTTCTGCTACAGCATGGGGCTCACAGTGGCTGGTGAACTTTAATTCAATTAAAACTCAGTGGTTGCTTGCAGCCTTGTTGGAAGCAAAGATGTTTAAAAAAATAAATAAATAAAGATCAGTTCATATCATCGCATTATTCTGTAAAATTGAAACAAAAAATTCTTAAAGATAGAGAAATAAATCTCGAGAAATGTATTGAAATTGGTCGAAACATAGAAGTGTCAAAACAACACCCAAAAGAAATATATAAAGCAAACCAATGCACAGCGGAAATCGACTTTGTAGATTATTTAGAAAAACAAACCTTTTTCAGAAAAAGAAAACAAACGACAGATTTTAAATCGAGACCTAGCCGAAATGATATTATAGACAAAAAAGAAAATAATTTGTTATGTTTTCGTGTGGAAAGAAGTACTTTGTTAGACACCAAAAAGATTGCAAAACCATTGGAAGAATGTGTTTCAAATGTCAAAAAAAAAATCATTTAGCTGTTTGTTGCCGAAATACTCTATAATCATTGTATAGGACAAACCGACAAGTTAATGAAATAAATGATAAAGCTAAAAGTAAACACAGCTCAGAAAATGAATCAGAAGAAACGCATGCCCAGACATTTAGTTCAACACAAAAAAGACAATCTAATAAAACAAAATCAATAAATGTAATAGTGGAAAATGTAACGATAAAAATGATTATTGACTCAGGTTTCAATGTGAACTTAATTGATAAAAAATACGTTTGAATCAATTAGAAACATAAATCCTAATTTAATAATACAGAAATCATCAACAACCATAATTTCATATACTTCGAAGTCTTTAAAATTAATCGGTTGTTTCAAAGCTGAAATTGAAGCTAAAAAAAAAATAACTACTAAATCTTCCAACGAATCAAAATAATAGTAATTTCAAGCGTATTCAAATTGTTTTAAAATTCAAAAATAATTTGACAAAATATTGCAAAATACGAAGACATATTCAATGCAAACTTTATGTAGACGAAAATATACAACTAGTTGCGTCGTTACTCTTATCACCTTCGAGAAGACATTCGAGCAGACATTCGAGAAGACATTCGAGAAGACATTCGAGCAGAATTAAGGCGACTTTAAGAAGCAAACTTTGTTTAAAAATTTTAAGGACCACAAGAATGGATAATTAATTTTGTAGTTGTACCAAAAGCAAATGAATATGATTTCCTCATTTTTAACCAAAACATATTTAATGATGTTGTTTCGAAGTGATCCTTAGCCGTGGTATCATTCTTTAACTCTATAAATTCTTGTTGTGCTTCCCCTTTCACATTTTTTACATCATAAAAAAATGGTGATATAATAAATTCACTGCTTAAAAGGTTCACATCTGGAAAATAGTTACCGAATTCTTTAATGAAATTATTTAGGTGACAAACTGTTTCTGTCTTTATAACTTCAGGAAGCATGTTATTTTCAATTATGCTATTTAAAGTTTGAAACATGATCAAATTTCCATTATTAATTCTAGTTTTATGCAGTTTTCCACTATTAATTCAGTCTTATAAGCTTTTCAATAAATGCTTTCATTATATCAGAGTCTGTAATAACATTAGCATTTTTACCTTGAAGCTGCAAATTTAACTTGTTAAAATAATCCTCAATGTCCAGATGGTAAGCAGTTGTTATTTCAAAATTGTCAAATTCAAAATATTGCACAAGCGCACTTTTCATTTGACGTAAAAATTCTTTCACTTCATTTCAGAGCTTAAAAAATTTTTCCAAAAAATTCCAGCAGATAGCCATCGCACTGAAGTATAAAATAATAACTTATTGTGTTCAGCATCTAGGTCAGAGCAAAGTTTTGTAAAAAGTCGAGTGCTGAAAGCAGAAGATTTTATATGGTTCACCAATTTAATTAATTGATTAAATACAGCTTTCAAATTACCTGGTAACGTTTTTGTTTCCAAAGGCTGTCTATGAATGAAGCAGTGTATATTTGGAGCATTCTCTTTTACTCTATTCTGCAATCCAGACTTACAACCCATCATGATAAGAGCTCCATCAGTAGCAATTCTAAGCAAATATTTCCATTGTAATTGATTGTCATTGAAAAACTGTAATAAAAGTTCCATAATATCAACTGTTTTTGTTGTTTCAACTGCTTTTTTGTTCTGTGCTATTATATATGAAACCTTATATGATGCTTCTACAATATTCTGTTGATTTTTGTGAATAATCCCAGTTTTATCTAACTTACATTTCTTCAGTGGTTCAAATTTTCTTTTGAAAAAATATCTTTATTTCGAAGATCAGGATGACACTTATTCAAGTGAATAGCAAGCTTTGACGGTTTCATAGAGTCATTTCCTAGTACTTTATGACAAATAACACACTGTGGGTAGCTAATGGTGTCTTTAAGCATGTAGGTAAAACCATATCTCATATATTCATCTGAATATGACCTCTTTTTATTTTTAGACATCTAAAGTATTTAAAAATAGTATAAAACGCATCTATAATGTAAATATTCAAATAAGATAAGAGTAGTATACTATCGAACTTTCATAGAAAATAACACAAATTACTTTTTTTCAAACAAATCAGTTAGTAAAAATATTTTTACCATAAGAAAAGATGAAAGAATTATGATATTATATGGCAAAATCTATTGCGGACCATTACAAAGTAATAAACACATTTATTACTTCGTAGTAGGGTGTATCGAAAAACGACTTTTTTTGAATTTGAAATTGTAATAGAGCGGAAAAGTTGCATAATGATATAAAAAGTAATTGTGCCAAATTATTTTGTATTTTTTTTATGTCTTCAGTTCGCGCTAGGGTTTTATTTTTTGTAGAAAAATACGTTTTCTGACCTTTTTTACAAAATAAAAATAAAAAATTCTATGCATATACTAGAGTTGTAATAAAATTTAACATTAAACTATGACTAAGTCGGAAATGGTTTTAATTAAAAAATTAATTTCTTAAA